TATGATGTGATCTCTCATCATGGCAGGACAGGTTTGGTCCATATCCAGGGCAATCTTACGGCTCAACGATACATCAACGAAATTCTCCTACCACACGTCCTCCCAGTAGCAGCCAACGGCAACGGTCTTTTCCAGCAGAACAACACTCGACCGAATAAATCACGGATTACAAGAGCCCGTCTTCACAACAACAAGGTTGATGATATCCCCTAGCCCTCCAGATGTCCGGATTTGAACTCGATAGAGGACCCGTGGGATTAATTTGATAGACGGCTACGCCAACGTCAACCACAACCCCAGACGTTGCAGCAGTTGGCTTTTACGTTGCAGGCCGAGTGGGCTACCATTCCCCAGGATGTGATTCGAATACTCGTCTCTTCAATGAGAAGGAGATGTCAGACCGCTATCGATTCCAACAGGGAACATACGCGTTATTGATGGTAGCTGACCTTCACCTTGGACTTTTCCTATGAACTGAAAACTGAGATGACTACAATCAACAAGTGTTCTCACCACAACACTTTGGCTGAATACCTTGTACGGTTCTTCGTATAAATGTATTTTCCTACCTCACACAAATCTGGCTTTGTGTTTCTTTTTTTTCGAAGAGTATGTTAACTCAAACTTAAAACAACTGGAACAAGCGGAAATCAACTTGCAGGCCAGTCATACCACTTTCTATGACCGGTGGCAGACGGCCTCTAAAGGTTTCAGCAGCGAAATGGAGGTTGTCTCTGAAGATCTTACCAACCTGGAAGCCAGTAACCCTGAAGATCCTTTATGTGGCCGTCTCGCCAAAGCACCCATGTCTAGACCTAGTTCTGAGGTATATAGTATTGAAGTGTCAAGGCGGAGTTCTGTGACAATGTCCAGCACTGTGGAGGTTCTCCAGCGTGGTGAGGGGAATGTCCACCAGTGACATGCTCTAACCCCTGGGCATAGGGAGGGGAGGATACCAGGTCAAACAAAATCCAGGGCCCCTCGGCCAATCCCATTTAACGCCCAGTGGAGTGGTAGACAAGAAACCACATCCATCTGAGAGACCATTGCGTCCAGCTCTCAGTATTTGTCATTTGAAAAAGAGGACTGTCTCTTGTCTGAAAATGAGCTGTTGGAGGACAATAAAATCTCTGGCACGAGGTCTGAAATAGACAACCCTCTTCTGCTCAACAGACATGGAAGGTATGGGTAAAACGATACACCGATATTCCGATGCATCGCGATTCTTGACCAACGATACGATATACGATAAACGTGAGCCCAATTATCGATACGACTACGATACGGAACGCAAATCTCAAGTACAGCGTTTCCTCGCTATTGTGCCTAACCCCACTCTATATTTAGCAAGGAGGGTCACTGGACAGTACCCTTGGGACAACATACTGTCATCCTTTGTTTGGCCCGTTTTCAAGGCGTGTGGGTCGACGTTTAGTCTTTCAGGACGACAACGCTCACCGTTCACAAATCGTCAATGCTCACCTGCAGGAGCACAACATCCACAGAACGTCATGGCCAACAGTGAGCCCAGACCTTTCCCCCTTTGTACACGTCTGGGACATGATAGGGAGACGTGTGTGTCAAGGTCATAGCCCACCGACCACTTTTTCTGAAGTTGACCAGGCGCTGTAAGAGGAGTTGAACAAACTCCCTCAAATCGCTATTGGGAGACTCACTCGTCGAGTGAATGAATGTTTGATTAATCGTGGCAGTTTTACGCCCTACTTTTCCAAAACTTTGAAATTCAACCCTATCTTCCATCAGGATCTTTTGTGGTCTCCTGTCACAATTCACTACCGTTTGTATTATGTTCCATATTCCTTAATTATTATCATACAACAACTACTAGAGGAAGTAATATCTCTTACAATTTTGGACATTTTAAGTTATTTCCGACTATCGCTTATATTATAAGAGTCTATTAGGTATCCACTTTCTTGATCTTCGCTATACCATAAAGGAACCGATGTATACTCAACAACAAAAGTTCCTGGGACACCAATATTTTAGTGTATTTTTCAAACAAGTAAAGTTTGGTTTTCAATATTGTAGTACATGTATGGAATCAAGTCACAACGCAATCAACGCAACTGCTACAGAAAAGCATGCATTCCATGCAAAAGTTGACTTTTATGCAAGCCCATGCATTTCACTACCCAAGAATGGGTATAAAAACATGTGCGTTAACAGGATTCCATATGCATTGTTTAGCATCGTGCTGACAACAACCACTCAGAAAAACAACAAAATTACGCAATTATTCAACATTACGAAATGCCACGCCTGTCCAAAAATGAGCGTCTGCGAGCCATTAGTATACTTGAAACAGAATCGAGTCAACGTGATGTTGCAAGAGAATTTATCGTCCACAGAAACACCATTTGGTGTTTATGGCAACGTTGGCAACAGACGAATGCAGTCAGAGACCATCCTCGGAGTGGCAGGCCACGCGTAACCAATAACAAGACAACTGGATTCGAACAACACACCTACGAAATCGATTCCAGCGAGCAACAGTGACTGCAAGAAGCATCCCTGCCTTTGACGAATATCTTCACAAACCGTACGTCGTCACCTCAGATGTGCTGGGATTATCGCCAAAAGACCCGCCGGACGTCCCATTTTGTTCTACCGTTTTTGCGTCGTCATGGCCCAGGCATTACCTTTCAACATGACAACGCCCGGCCTCATATTGCACGACTTGTTCATGATTGTCTTAAAAAAACCAACGTGAATGTCATCCCCTGGCCGGCTCGCTCCCCTGATCTCTCACCAATCGAGCACATGTGGAACGAGATGGATCGGCGCCTTCGACGTCAACCAGGTGTTCACAGAGACTCCAGGAAGTTCGAAACATGCTCCAGCAGATATGGACGGATATCTCACAGGACTTTGTGCGACGCTTGGTCCATTCCATGAGACGAAGATATGTTGCTTGCATCGCAACCAGAGGTGGACACACACGCTATTGATTTGTAAATTGACATTTTGGCATGTTTGTGATTTTTATGAAATCACGCATTTTCTGAAGTCAGTATGGCAAATTAAACCATTCGAACACTAACAGGAATCTTTTATCTGTTGCAAACCGAATTTGTTTCAGATTTGGTAAAAAACATAACTTTGCATTTAATCTTATTCAATGTCACAGGAACTTTTGTTGTTCAGTATAGATTGCAGACATTATGGGCAGTGCTAGACCAGGATTAACACTGAGTTGAAGGATTTAATGAGACTTTATTTACTGCCATAAAATTGTAAAAAATGGAATTTGCTAGGAGCCAAATGTCAATATGTGTCCGTTAACTTCTGCTAAATCTGCTTCCCAAGGCATGTCAAAGGAAGTATTTGAAGCTATAGAAGCTAGCAAGTTTGGTTTAAATATTGCACCATACCGATTAATCCCAACAAAATACCAATTCATCCTTTTCGAGCAATATCAATTCTAGGAAGTAATTAAAATATATTTTTGAAATATTAAGATAATTTAGATAGGGACAAACTATTTGATATTCTGAGGGGATGGGAGTTTATGGTTTTGAAACAAAATGATGGATGTTTACAAGATAATTTCGGAGCAAATAATCACATTTTGAAGCAGAGACCGAAAAACATATTGTAGTCAAAACGAAAATCTCAGGCACGGTCTAAATATAAGGAATTTTCAATCAAAATATTAGATGTATTTTTATACATTATTTGGGAAGTAAGGAGTATGAACAAGTCCATTATTTCTTTAATATGTACCCCAGCTGAGCTTGTGAAGGCCTGTGTAAAATCAGCAGCGGACTCGAGAACGTTACGTTACTGTTTAAATCTTTACCTCAAACCATGACCACGACAACATATTATTCAAGCTGGTTTGTATTCAGATCCACGTGAATCTGACGTACACAATGAACGAAATAATGGATCCGGAATGCAGTCATGACCATTACTCGTAAGTGGACGGCAGCGGCCCCAACCTAATTTTTAATAGTATATATGTCAAAGATCATATGCGACTTGTCACCCATTTTCGTGTTTTTGTTGATCTCAGTGTATATGTAATATAAGATGTAAAGCCATAATAATAAAATCTTACCTAATTGATGACTACTGCTTCAATAACCTGCACCGTCGCATTGAAAGAATAAAGAATTAGAATTACATAAGTCAACCATGTCAACCTTCGCCAAATGCCAAACAAAAATGCTCAACTGGAAGGATATGTTTACATTATAATGTAGGATAAATTAGATGTATGCAATTCCGTGAAGATTTCGGGTTAGAATTGTTCTTCAGCAACCCATGCTTTCGTAAGAGGCGACGAACGGGATAGGGTGGTCAAGCTCGCTCACTTGATTGATGCATTTCATTGATGCTTATGATGTCAATCACTGGATTGTCTGGTCCAAATTCGATTATATAGCCGGAATATTATTGGATTTCAAGCTATATTTAACAGTATTGCAATTATATTGCATTGCTCATCAGCAATGGGTCCTCTGTCAAGAAGGAAAACCTCTGGAGAGGGAACTATGCAAACGACTTGAAGAAAGAAACAATTACATGTGGTATGACAAAATACTATATGTATTATGAATCTACAGATTATGATACTAAATGGACGTGTAAAACCCATTTCTCTCGTCTTTGTTTTAGATTGTCTGTGTTGTCCACAACTTCATATCCCATCCTATCTGATCATTATCCAACAAAAAATGAGTAAAATGCTACTGTCAATTTGTTCCAGCTACCTTTGTATATGATGGCATACATGAAAATCAGTGATGCTTCAATAATGGCGCATCATTGTTCGTCTTTTTAGCCTTAATGAGAAGATACCAAATCCTTCAATCACAGTTTACTCATATTATTGCATTAACCTACATGGTCTACTCATGCATACAAACTCATACAAGTCTGGTTTGCATTAATTTTGGGCGTGTGCCATCTGGAGTTCAGAACAGACGTGTGATCAGCTCTTTGGGTGCATTAAAAATCAGATCAGTTGTTGTGGACATATGGGAGTTTCATATATATCACACCTTTGCAACATGTTGGCAAATACAACGTACCCGGACACTATAAATGAACGCTAGATGCCAGCTGTCTGTACACAACTGACATCATGGAGAAAGTCATCATTTGCAGCATTGTCGCTCTGATATCACTAGTTCTCGCTGCAGGATCTGGGTTAGATAAATCAAGTACACTGGAATCCGTGATTGCCCGACTGGCTTTCAATGACAGAACAACTCGTAGCAAAAGTAAGTGTTCACAATCTAGCAAGTCTCTGACATAAAATACACGTTTCTTATGGTATATGTGTATTGTACATCAATACGAAGACCTAATAATTAGATAGACCGATTATAAAACTCATTGAGGTTCAAAAATTCATTTAGTTTATTACATTAACAATAAGCAGCTCAGAAGAAGCACTAGTCTGGTTGTACCCACACAAGAGACATCGCGAAAGCCTATGTGTTTCTTACCTTCGCTCTCTTCACCCTAGCCCTAGAGTCCAGCCAAGACAAGCGAGATGGGGAAAACATCAACGCCAGACTCGAGGCTGTGGAACGTCAGCTTTTGGCATTTAAATCAACACCATTGGAAAGAAGAACCCCGTGCACATCCAGTAAGTCTTGCTAATCCGTTTCTTACCATCCACAGTCGACGTGGAAGAACTTGGTATGTCCTACAGTAGATATTCACCAACAATCGTCTGTCCACGTGGAAGAACTACGTAAATCATGCAGTAGATATTTACACACCATTGCCTATCCACGTGGGAGAACTTGGTACGTCCTGCAGTAGGTATTCACCAAAAATCGTCTGTCCACGTGGAAGAACTACGTAAATCATGCAGTAGATATTTACACACCATTGCCTATCCATGTGGTACGTCCTGTCGTAGGTATTCATCGATCATCGCCTGTCCACGTGGATCAACTAGGTACTCATGCAGTACGTATTCACCAACCATCACCTGTCCACGTTGAAGAAGTAGGCACGTCCTGCAGTAGGTAAACAGTAAAACAGTAGGTATTCACACACCGTCGCCTGTACACGTGGACGAACCAGGCACGTCATACAGTAGATATTCACACACCATTGTTTGTGTACGTGGAAGAACTTGACACGTCCTGCCGTAAGTATTCACACACCATCGCCTGTCCACGTTGAAGAACTAGGCACGTCAAACAGTATGTATTCACGAAACCTTCGCCTGTCTAAGTGGAAGAAGAAGGCACATCATGCAGTAGGTATTCACAAATTATCGCCTGTACGCGTGGAAGAACTTGGCACGTCCTGCAGTAGGTATTCATCGACCATCGCCTGTCCACGTAGAAAAACTAGGTACTCATATAGTAGGTATTCACCAACCATCGCCTTTCCACGTGGAAGAACTAGGCACGTCATGCGGTAAGTATTCACCAACCATCGCCTGTCCACGTGGAAGAACTTGGCACGTCCTGCCGTAGGTATTCACACACCATCGTTTGTGTACGTGGAAGAACTTGACACGTCCTCCCGTAAGTATTCACACACCGTCGCCTGTCTACGTGGGCGAACTAGGCACGTCCTGCCGTAAGTATTCACACACAATCGCCTGTCTACGTGGAAGAACAATGCACGTCATGCAGTAGGTATTTACCAACAATCGCCTGTCCACGAGGAAGAACTTGGCACGTCATGCAGGAGATATTCACACACCATCGCCTGTTCACATGGAAGAACTTGGCACGTCAAACAGTAAGAAATCACACACCATCGCCTTTCCACGTGGAAGAACTAGACACAGCATCGGTAGTTATTTACAAGTACCTCGGAGTGATTATTACCACTGATTTATCTTGGAATTGAATTCATTTACATGTACACAACAAGCCATAAAAGCAACATTTTGCCTTAACGATTTATCTGCAAATATAGAATAGATATTGAAATGTTACTCTTCTGCTTACACCCCTTGACAATGCTGGTCGGAGGGTCTAGACTGGTGATGTACGTAAATGAATATTTTCTTTAGGATTTGGATAAACTTTGCTTGTTTGTCCAATGTATAACAGTTTTCAGAAAGAAATATCTACAGCCATCCAGTATGTTATTTACATATCAATACTCTATTAAACATGTGAAACAAACAAAAGGAAGACTGGAAAGTAGGAGCTCAACGTTGTTTAATGTATTTTCTGAGGATGAATTTGTTTCCTATTTACAAATGCTGTTGTAGGGAAGTCTGTTGTATCACTTGAAGCCACTTGAATTTGCAAATGTATCTATAAATTAAAACATTCTGTAATGTAACCAATCTGGACAGGTTAGCGCCGAGAGGCCTACATTTTGAATAAATCATTTTGATTATGTAGTTGTCACGTCATACAGTAAGCATTTACAACTGTTAGCCAGTCTACGTAGGAAACCTGACCGCATAACCGAAAAAAAGATTTATTCAAAGGCACTTCTTTCGCAAACATGTCCTACCTTATTGACGTTGCGATAGTACATGTTGAGGTTCCAACATTATTCACAGCGAGTTTGGCAATATATTTAAGGTAGAGTACTTGGCGAACAAATACTTAGAGAATGTATTGTAGTAACATCGACAAAGCTTGACGTTTTACTATCGCAACTTGATAGTTGCGTACTGTGACGTCATGTCTACTGTTTCGACTTCCCATCAGGAGAGCTTTATGACGCCAAAGTGGAGTAGGAAGGGACAACAGTAATAAGTAAAGTATATATCGCTAGTCGGAATGATATAGGGTAGGAAGGGGACAGAAAAATATACTCTTCGAAAAAGGAAATGCAAAACGGATAGTTTTAGCCATAAAGCAAAATGAAGAGGCATAATGTATTATAGTGTCAGTGACAAATTTCACGGATCAAAATTATCACAAGAAGAACATGCAAACCATTAGTCGGGAAACACGCACGATTCGGAACGTACGCAGTGCATTAACAAAAGGTAATGGAGCTGCACGTACTGAACGTGCAGCAGCACTATGAACGCTATTAAAGTGCAGGGTTTTTGATCGCCTGGCATCTGCGTCAATCGAGCAGTGGCAGTTCAACAACATGCCAAGATAAACAGAAGTGCAAAGAAACAACGTCATAGGCCGCTTGCAGACAGGGGAATCCCGATCAGCTGTAGCCAGAGTTTTCAATGTAGCGCCCAGCACCATCACAAGGCTACGGGGTTGGTTTCAACACCATGATTGGCCTAGGTCGGGACGACCAAGAGTAACCACCCCCGCCCAAGATCGCTACAGCCGACTGCGCCACATACGTGAAAGGACGTTCACAACTACCTCAACCGCATCCCAAATACCCAGACTGCGCAGAATCTCCGAACAGACCGTACCCTAACCGTTTAAGAGCAGCAGGTCTACAAGCAAGACGTTCTGTTCGACGCGTCACTTTGAGTCGACAACATCGTCAACAACGACTGCATTGGTGTCGTCAACACAGGGTATGGCTTTAGCTACGACGGAGAGATGTCTGTTTCAGCGGAGAATCAAGATTTCACCTCCGTCGAGGTAATGGAAGAGCACGGGGCTACAGACGTCGGGGAGAACGTTACGCCGGAAACTGCGTACATGAAGTGGACAGGTTTGTTGGGGGTAGCGTTATGATGTGGGCGGATATCTCTCATCAAGGCAGGACAGGTTTGATCCATATCCAGAGCAATGTTACGGCTAAACGATACATCATAGCAATCCAGTTTGTTCTAAAAAATTCACGTAACTTACGGGTCTCCACGCTGTTTCAATATGTTTTAACAACTCGAAATCGGAAATATCGACGGAGCTCGTCAAATGTGCGTGGTAACAACTTCTCATCAGGCGGCGCTGCTCCAAATATGTTTATAAACTAGTATTCACATTATCAAAATTTGGCTGTAATACCTAAAGCACCATTCAGCCTTTTTTGTAAAAGTGTATTGATTCTACAATCATAAATTTTCCTCCGATAGCCATAACTGGACATTTATCAATTGTGAGATTGATATCTTGTTTAACATCCAATTGTATATGCTTAAAGTATTTATGTCGTACGCACACATGTAGCTATACAACCGCTCCAATGAAGGAGTGATCAAGTCTCCCATAAGAGTGTTACACATAGTCGTCATAATGAAACCATAATGATTTTTATCACAAAACGATAATATTCCATGGAGAGTTATATATGCATTCTATGCGATAAGTATGATATAAGATATGGGCAACTGATAAGCATATATATAGAGGTTATCACGCAAGTGTGTTTGGGGATGGTAAATATCCTGTATTTCAAATAAACATTGTATTAGCGAGCTTTGGCGAGCTAAATACATAGTGTTTATTCCTAATACAGGATATTTACCATCCCCAAGCACACAAGCGGGATAACCTCTTTATCACATAATATGATATATCATTCTTCAGTTCATTGTTCGAAAATCTCTTCCCATCTCTCACATACATTACCTAAACATTGCACAAACAAGGTAACAGACGAAACAAGGTAACAATTCGGGCATATTTCTCCCAAATCCAACTGTTAATTTGTGGAGAAGGTTCCGAGCCGCAGAGGTCTGCACAAGCACTGATATGGCACCTGCTCCCGCTATCTCAAGAGTTTCCTAAACACCTGGTTTGTTGTTTTACGCCGCACTCAGCAATATTCAAGCTATATGACGGCGGTCTGTAAATAATCGAGTCTGAAACAGACAATCCAGTGACTGACATCATGAGCATCGATCCACGTAATTGTGATCAGTGACATGCATCAACCAAGTCATCGAACCTGACCACCCGATCCCGTTAGTCGCCTCTTATGACAAGCATAGACGCCTTTTTATCCAAGCGTGGGTTGCTGAAGACCTATTCTACCCCGGATTAACGTTAAACGCCCTAGCTACGTCTCTGTTAGACACTGATTTTCAGCATTTTAGACTATTCTTTTGATAATGATAGCAATTATCCCAGTAGTTTCTCCAGATTCCCGATGGTTAATTCTGACTCGATCGCTGATTATGTTTGTTTATAAAAAAACTGAAAGTTGTCCCTACTTTATCTTTGATATTTGCATCTCTATCCGCATATAACCCCAACGGACATCGTTTTTATCCGTTGGCTTTATCCTGCCAAGAAACCTACCCATTATTTGATAAAAAAAAATTAAATATATGGCTTCTGTGAAATATCTTTTTGAAAATTGAGTGTTTTATGTAGGTTTACATCTGATACTTATACTGACGGATGTAATTTTATGACAA